ATGAGAAAGGAGAATTAGTGGAGGATTGGAAGCAAGTAAAAGATCATTTTCTGGCATATTTTAAAGGCTTGCTAGGAAAAAGCATGTCTAGATCATCTATTAGAAGTGAGGTCTTCAGTTCAAGAATTAAACTGACTGTAGACCAGCAGATTCTCCTGACTGAAGATTTTACTAAAGCAGATGTGAAGGAATCATTCTTTCAAATTGATCCAACCAAAAGTCTTGGTCCTGATGGGTTTAGAAGTAGATTCTACAAATATGCATGGAGCATAATAGGAGATGAAGTATGTGAAGCAGTGCTTGATTTCTTCAAAACAGGTAAATTGCTGAAACAGTTAAATACTACACTGATCTCATTGATACCAAAGAATGCATGTCCAAAAGATGCCACAGAATGTCGACCTATTTCCTGCTGCAACACAATCTATAAATGCATCTAAAAAATGATTTGTAAAAAGCTCAGTATGGTATTGCTAGATTTAGTAAACCAGAATCAGGGAACTTTTGTGAAAAACAGGTTTATATTACATAACATCCTCCTGGCCCAAGAGTTGATAAGGTTATACAATAGACAGAATGCCAAGCCTAGTTGCATGATGAAAGTGGACTTGAAGAAAACATTTGATTCTGTCCATTGGAGTTTTATAGAAGAAATGCTAAAAGAACATGGATTTCCATCAAAGTTCACCAGTTGGATCATGGAATGTGTAACCACTGTACATATTCTTTGACTCTAAATGGAGAAAGCATTGGCTTTTTCAAAGGGGAAAGAGGTCTTAGGCAAGGAGATCCCTTATCCCCTTTGCTGGTTGTACTGACCATGGAGTACTTGACTAGATTGTTGGCTAAAGAAGCAGAACAGTCACAATTCATACTGTACCCATCTTGTAAGAAATTGAAAATTACTTCATTAATGTTTGCTGATGGTCTATTGCTGTTCTGTGGGTCTGATGAGTATATAGTCAGGAAAATCAAGGAGGTACTAAAGCATTTTGCAGAAACATCAAGGCTGCAAGTCAACTATCAGAAGTCAAATAAGTATTTTGGTGTAAAAATTGGTGGCATGAAAGATAAACTTCTGCAAATCATGGAATTTACTGAAAGAATCTTCCCAATGAGATACTTAGGAATGCCAGTTTCTCCAACAGCATGGACCAAAAGTGACTGTCAGGCTCTAGTTGAAAAAATCACTGCAAGGATACATTGTTGGTCAACCAAACATCTCTCTTATGCTGGAAGGGTAATCCTGATCAATGTAGTATTGCTCACTCTCCACACTTATTGGGCTAGCATCTTCCTAATACCTCAGTCAGTGATCAAACAAATAACTGCCTGTTGCAGACAGTTTCTATGGGGAAAAAAGCAAAATGGAAAATGTATATACTAGTGGCATGGGATGATCTATGTAGAAGCAAAGCAGAAGGTGGCCTTAGCATGAAAGAACCAGGCATTTGGAATAAAGCAATGCTGGGAAAACAGTTATGGGACCTGGAAAGGAAGAAAAACAGTCTATGGATAAACTGGATGCACATTTATTATGTGAAGAATGAGTCAGTTTGGAATTACAATCATCCTAAAGATTACAAGTGGCATCTTAAGAAGCTGATGAAAATCAGAAATCTACTCAAAGAAGGAATAAAAAACAGGAAGTGGTTGAATGGCAATGAATACACCACAAAAAGTGGATACAAAGTGGCTGAGGAGGGGGAAAGCAAAATGGGAACCAGTAGACATAGTGTGGAGCAGATACACAATTCTAAAGCACAGCTTTATCAGCTGGCTAGCCTGGCAGAAATGACTCCTCACAGTGAACAGACTTGATAAAATGGGGATGGTAATTGCAGACAAGACGTGTTCTGTGTCAAAAAGAGAATGAAAGCCTGGAACATCTGCTGTTCAAATGTGATTATTCTCAAACAATATGGCAGAACATGATGCAGTGGACAGGAGTTAAGTATCAATTGCAAGAGCTGAAAGTCAAGGCTTTGTGCAGAGTTTGGAGATGGAGATCATTGAGGAAAAAAAGTTTTCGGGGCTTGCATCAATGCAACTATCCATGCAGTATGGACAGAAAGAAACAGGAGGAAGTTTGAAGAGCTGAAAAAAGATGCATGTACTAGGGTTGAAAAGGCGATACATGATATGAAATGGAAGATCAAAACTTTGTATAGAAATGGCAGTGGAGATGATATAAGATTCTTGTCAAGATTAGGCATTCAAAATTTTTGATCCATTGTAAATAGTTCAAAAAGTACATATGTTGGTTGATCTGAATGAAATACAAGTACCTTTTACCAAAAAAAAAAAAGTGTAGCATTATACTTGATGTATTAGTTAGTGACTTTTGGTTGAAAATATGAGATTCACCGCAGAAATCAATATATATTCATATCTTTCAGCAAAGAAAATTTGAAATAGTTGTTAGAGAGAGAAACTTGCTAGCGTATCACGATTTCATGCAATATTTTCCTAACCCAATGAAAACTATGTTGGTCAAAAAATAATTTGAGCAAAATTCTATGATTATCTCATATCAATTTCTTTTCCATAAATAAGATGTCAGTAATTGGGTAGAATTTTATTGGCAAAAGTTCTTAAATACAACAATAAAATGATCTTAGTTTGGAGTAAATAATAAAATATATAATAAATTTGCGGTTTTTGTTTTGGTGCAATGAAGTAGTTCAATCTAAAATATTAAAATACTAAACTATCATATTTCGTGGATGGAAAAACTCAACAAAACCGTGTTCCAATTCAATTTCTATGCATAAACTCTTCGATGAGCTCTCTATGAACCCTCATGTTTTCCTGATTTTGCAGTATCCATAGCTGAAATAGTGCAGCAACATTTGAGCAATCATCATGTTTAGTAAAGGGAAAACTCTATAAAACTTGTTAATCAAATGTGTATTGTTCAATTTCTCGAATAAAGTACTAAAGTTGATCATATAGGAGTTACATCGGCAACCATTGGCAAAATAAACCTGATAAAGCCACCAAAGCGTGACTTCTGTGGAGCTTGTATTTTCATACAATTATTGCTGTAGGTCAACATCATCACCATTTTGTTGGCCGTTGCAATTTGCAGCATGTCTTAATCCATCGGAACTATTGACTGGAAACATAGCACCATCGTGAATCCGTGATTTATGAAATTGTGAAGCTTTATGCATGAATTGACACATGACATACAAGCTTTATCTTTGCTTCATCCATCTCAACCCGCAACTCAGTTTTTTAACAAATTGACTATTCGGACACAAGGGGAAAAAATAAAAAAGAAAAGAGAAAGGACACTGTGGAGTTAAGTGTACTAGAGGTTTTTTACTTGAACCATATGCGTGCCTATTTATAGACGTCTTCGCTTGGGTTCAATATTTTTTATCACAATTTTCATTGACGCCGCCTCCATCTCTACAAGTCTCCCACCCAGTCCTCTTCCATTGGAGAGGAAGCAAGAGGAGACTGTTTCTTTCATTTCAGAGAAATCAATTAATCATGCATCCGCTTTGTGGATCTCATCTCTTGTCTTATTAGTGAATTGTAATGAAAGGAGGGTTTGGGTTTCATCATCTCCCCCTTCCACAAGATAATGAATCAATGTTTAAAAAGGTTACTTGAGTTCCTTGCTATTGTTGAGTTTGAAGGCCGGGTCAAAGACAGTTTGAAAGATGTCAGTTATGGTCATTGGAGGAGTCCGTAAACAGATGGCGCAGATCCAGGAACTGGTTTAGGAGCTGCAGCGATTGATTGCGACACCCTCGTGCTGTTTAAAAGCCATTGCGGTTTACAGCGCAACCATTTTGGCAAAACAACCCGATTGAATCAATAAAGCTACCAATTAAAATGCATGCTGAAAACAGCAAGAAAAAGAAAAAAAAAACTTTTGTATCAATATTTTTGTTGGCCCTTGCACTACTTTGTAGCAAGTCTTCATCGTGCTTGTATCGTACAACTTTACTGGCTTCACTTCTCATCCATACACTTTTATTTTTTGCTGGTTTTTTTTTTAGTTTTTTTTTTAGGGAAATCTTTGTGCCGGCTGCGAAATCTGTGGTCCTCACGGCAATGGTAGTTGATCTTCATTCCTTGTTCAAAAATATTCCTAATCAACTGCAACTACTTAAATTCAAGTTGAAAAAATAGCACCATCATACATAAAATACATAGATATAATCATGATTCATGAAGTTATGAATCTTTATTCATGAATTGACTCGCGACACATACAATCACATGACCAAAAGAGTAAACATTTAGGAACCGTTGTGGGGTTCTGTTGGACCGATTTTAGCAAATCCGGTCCACATGAGAGTGGGCCGATCGCAGCAACCATGAAGGAAATAAAATCGGTCAAAGCCCGCCGTATTTGTTATTCAAAGAAACAATAGCAGGCAGCAATCCGAATTCAAAAGGGAGTCTTCAACACCACAATCCTTGTCGGAGAAGTACTCTAATCGCAACAGAAGTTCTTATTGGATTCGACTTTGGTTGCATTCCAACTAGGATTGACGAATCTCTTATAAAAGCTGTAAAGGAGGGACGGCCGAAGGACACAATTCATCACACAAGAAATCATATTCTTAGTTCATTTATAGCTTTTATCATTTTTTTTTTCAAACTTTCATGTATTCTTTCTGTTTTAAGTCTTAATCTTGTAAACATTTGGACATTTCAGGCTGTTCTTAGCCGATTCGTTTCTCATAATTTCAATAAAGCTAGCCTCAGTTGGCCGTTTTATTCATTTTTACGGAATCATTAGCTACTTTGTTATTAAACAGTTGACATCTCAGTCTTGTCACAAATCAAGGGTGTTGACATCTTTCAGCAATTCTAACAGTTGGACTCTGGATTTCAAGAATATCACGCAATCATTTGAAATTAGTCTGAGCCGAGTTGGTCCTTACTTTAAAATACAATTTTGATTCAAACATAAAATTTGGCACGCCTGGTGGGACCAGTTTGCGTGTTCCAGGCATTGTTTAAGCAAAAGAACGATGTCGATGCCTCAGTCGTCAACAACAATGCAGTCGGCAGGACAAGTTTCAATGCCGATCCAGACTTCTGCGCCAAGTGGGAGTTCTTTGCCGATGAATACAGCCCCGCATATTTCGGCAATAGATTCATATTCAACGGTGATAACAGATCAATCAACTGGGATAGGGAGACAATCTAATCAACAGCAGTCTAATGCTGGATCAAGTCTTTTCGGAGAGAGGTCTAGTTTTCTTGGGTCTTACGGAAGTCCGGATTTTCAGACTCCAAGTTTTCAAAGCCCATTATTCCAAGTTCCAGTATTCCATAACCAAGGTCAAGTGGATCAGGTTCCACCAATGACTCTTGAAATGATGCACCAAAGGTTCACGGCAATAGAACATACTATGGCTGGGCAAGTGGAAAGGTTCGAAAACGCTTTTCCGAGGTTAATCAATCGTAGTGCAAATTCAGGGGGTGCTGGTTCCAGTGGATCTGCAGTGACGGGCAGTAACACGGCTACAGGAACAGCACATGTGGAAGTACCACCAGTTAAGATGGTAAATAATCCTTTGTACAATGCTATATTTCAACCGTCTGCAACAGATACTCCGATACAACATGTTGGAACAAGATCAAACAATAACGGATCACAAACTGTTGCAAATACTACAAGGCATGGGATGCACAGTTGGTATTACCCGATGGTTCCGAGTCAACCTGCATTCATTCCACCACCAAGGAATTTCACGTTTGATGGGCATCAATTGCCTCCATTGTCTTCCCAATATGATGCACCAGTAATGATGTTTGGAACGCCATGGGGACAACATATGCCTTATCAAGGTTACCAAGTACCATGACCGATAACCCCAGAAACGCAGCAGTCGGGAACCGCGACGAGCAATAATGTTGCAAGGAACGCACAAGCAACTAATCAACTTCAGTTGCAGAATACAACATTTCAACACCAGACTCCACCGGTACAAAATCAACAAGGACCAACAATGGTTCCACCTCAATTGATTGGGCAAGATGGTGTTCCCAAGATAACCTATAGACCGCAAGCAACGTCAGAACATGGTCTTCAGGGTTTTATTGGCACGGGAACTAATCAAGGTCCTACTAGTGCAGGCTGTTGAGCCTTCAGAACAGGCTGGTCAAAATGCACAAGGAAGTAATGATCACCGTTTTATATTGTACCAAAATCGGGTTGTGCCACCAATATCAGGAGATACCACTGCAACTGCAAATTTGGCTGATTCTCACATTCCTCAAGGATTCGGCATTGTGGTTGCTAATCCCTAGAATGTTCCACCACATCCAACGATGAGGAAAATAGGGAAGAACAACAGTGGATAGAATATGAAGCGAATCAGATTTTGAATAGAAATAGAGCACAAGCTGCTGGGTGACTTTTTAGAAATCAGAATGTTGGAAATCAACACAACCCATAGCAACAACGCTTTTGGGGTCAAAGAGGTGGTCATTACCGAGTGGATCTCGGTAAAGAATTTCGACAAGAAACAAATGCAACAGTAAATGTCAATCAGCAGCAGGATTTTGAAGTAGGGGCTGACCATACTCTAAATCTGAATAAACATTTTCAAGGATGGTAGAAGATTTAGTTCGTAAAGAATTGGGTACAGAGATTCCAGAGGTTCCAGGGAAGCCTCATCCTGATTTTGTTGAATGGGAACCGTTGCCGAGAAACTTCAAGATTCCCGATTTTCAACAATTTTCAGGGGAAGATGAGAAGAGACCTGAAGATCATATGAGTCTATTTGAGTTCCAATGTGGTTCAGTGAGTACAATGCTTTAATCAAGTTACATTTGACCTTATTCCCTAAAAGGAACTGCCTTCGATTGGTACTGATCATTGGCACCAGGGTCTATTCCATCATGGGAAACTCAACATAGAGAATTCCTATCATACTTCGGTAGGGATACTGCACGATTATCAATTGTTGATTTATCTGAGATACTACAGAAGTTTGGAGAAACTGCAGAAGCATACTTGATTCGGTTCCGACAAATGTATGCTAAGATACCTGACAAGTATGAATAACCAACTATTGTTAAGATGGAAGTTGCAGGAATTCAAGATTACAAGGTAAAATTAGCTGTTGCGCCACATTTTGTCTGATCGTTGAATCATTTGGCGGATATTATAAGAAGATGTGAGAAGGTAATCCGGGATAAACGAGAGAAGAATCCAGGAAAGGCAAAACAATGGTTTAATAAGAGTCCGGTAGTGGAAGTAAATCAAAGTCATTGGGTTCATGATGAAGATGATGATGAATATGACGTTAATGCAGCTGAGATTGTTAATGTTAGAAATTATACCTGTGAAGCATTACGTCGACCTATGGTACCGCATTCTTATAATACTCCTCCACCAGTAGGTGCACCGACATGGGACCCTAGGATAAGCTGGAGCTAACATTGGGCGAGTGTATTCTTTCGATATTTTGATAAGAGGCTATTTTTGATGATATGTTTAAGAAAGGTCATATTCAGTACAAGAACGGGTACCGACAGCCAAAGCCAGTGGATGTAGTGGGAAAGATTTATTGCAAGTATCATATGTCATGGACTCACACGATAAATGATTGTGTATTATTCCGCAATAAGCTTCAGAAGATGATAGATGATGGCAATGTGATAGTTGAAGATCCAGTTGAAATAATTACCAATCATTTCCCGCAGCAACACCAAGTCCGAATGGTTGATGCAGGGTTTGGAAGTCATGCTTCTGATACATGTCCCATAATAGGTTGCGAAGATTGCGACAAAGTCTTTGACAAGGTGAAAAGACAGCTTCATGAGTTAGGGTCTAAATTCGGAGGACATTTACACCGACAGAGTTCGCGTCCAGCTGCAACAGAAGTAAACATTGTGATAAACGGACAAACATAGACTTGAGTATAGAAAAAGACGTATTTGGATCTAGAACAAGAGAGGTTAAGGGTTGTATCATATGTTATTTTGAGTTCCTTGAATCAAAATCGGCAACCGAATGCACAACATGCGGAAACACGTCAAGCAACCCCTCTAATTCAAAAGCGATTACCTCTGCATGCAAGATTAGGGAATCATGCCATTGATGTCAGGGTTGATAGACAACACCATGATCAGGATAACCGACCATCAGTCTTGCAACAAATGAAAAGGCCGGCGCCATAGAGTAATGTTGCACCAAGGGAAGTTAGAGTAGCGCCTATACATGACAAAGAATGGCATCGCGTGGTTCACCCAAAATTTCCAATCAAACGTCGACGAGAACAAAGATGACTAGGACTCAAAAACGTCGATCGCAACGGGTTATGAATAAACATACAAGGGCAGAAACAGAAAAGTAGAAAGTATTTGCGAAGATTGGATCACCAGTCCAACAAGAGATGTCGATAATCAGCTTTTCAGAACAAGGAGAAAGATGGTCACAATTGTGGGGAAAGTCAGATATTATTTCCCACCGGTGAACATGGTTTACACGCTACCGAAATCTTTTTGTTTGAAAACCCCTACATCTACGACAGCTTTAGTTCCTACAACTGTTGCAAACCAAGTTATAATCCCTGAAGCAACTTTTTTTGTGACAGAACCATATGATACTACAGTTGGTGGGATTCAATTACTGTCACGAGAAGGGAAGAGTCTGGGTTATTTGCGCAGTTGTGGATGGAATCCCATTACGACGAGTGTTGGTGGACAATGGCGTAGCTATAAATATCCTACCCTCAAGGGATTTACCTAAGCTAGGTAAGCAATTAAAAGATTTAGTGCCGACTAAAGTTTTTGTGAGTGGATTTACAGGAGATGTTACAAGGACCAAAGGCATTCTACCATTGCAAGTTGAAGTTGGATCAAAGAAGGTAGTATCAGCATTCTTTGTGGTTGACACTAAAGCTTCTTACAACGCTCTTTTGGGACGAGATTGGATACATTCGGCACGATGCGTTCCTTCTTCTCTGCATCAGGCGATCATTATGTGGGTAACAGAGGGTCCAAAAATCATTGCAGCCGATACAAGTCCATTTGCAGCACAAGCCAACGCTGTAGAAGCTTACTATTATGATAGTGAAGTAGGTCCGTATCGTCTTGTAGGTATGGACAAGTATGGTCGGCCGCAGCAGGCCATTATGCGTGGAGATATAAATCTTTCGGAATGGAAATTGCTTTGGCAAGAAGTCAACAGGCCATATAATTATAGTATGTTAAGGCCGTTGCCAGACGCACCATCTATTGAAGAAATTTTGCAATGAAGACAATTGAACAGTTGAGAACTTTGAGTACAGACGAGTTAGATGGTGAACTGTTAAAAGCAAAGGAAATATAGGAAGTAATCAGGCGTGTGTTGCAGTATTTTGAAGATGAACATCGACAGAAAGCTGAAACGCCCGCAGTATGTTGGGACAAAGTAATCTATGATGCAGATCTAGTTTCTGATAGCGACGTAATAGATTTGAATGAATTGGATACTGCAACACCAAAATTCGCTGTTTTTACTAAAGAACCAATCAAAGCAGTAAACCTGGGTTCATCAAGCGAGGAAAAGCCTACATATATTAGCTCTTCCTTAGTGGCCGATGAAAAGAAATAATTGATTGCTTTACTGCAACAACACCGTGATTGTTTTGCATGGGACTACACAGAGATGCCAGGCCTGGATCAATGTTTAGTGGAGCACAGTATTTCTTTGAGAAAGGGTTTAAGCCATTCAAACAACCATCATGGCGTTTTTCAGAAGATGTTGTTAGCAAAGTTAAAGAAGAGATTGAACTCTTGTTGGCGGTTGATTTCATTGAAGTAGCAGTATATGTTGAATGGTTATCCAATGTGGTTCCTGCTATCAAGAAAAATGGCAAAACTAGAGTTTGTACAGATTTCCGTAATCTCAATTTGGCATTCCCAAAAGATGAATATCAAATGCCAATTGCGGAAACACTAATTGATAGGTTGATGGGTTTCCAAGTCATGAGCTTTATAGATGGCAATGCCGGATACAATCAAATTTTCATAGCTCTTGCAAACGTTCATAAGACTGCCTTTCGTGCACTAGGGGCATTGGGAATTTTCGAATGGAAGGTTATGCCATTTGGGTTGAAGAATGCAGGAGAAACTATCAGCGAGCAATGAACTGCATTTTCAATGATCTGATTGGGAAGATCTTGGAGGTTTACATTGATGATGTCATGATGAAGTCACTCTCTTTTGCGGATCACTTGTAACATTTACGCCAATGTTTTGAGCGTATGAGGAAATATAAGTTAAAGTTAACCCCGTTAAAGTGCGCATTCGCCGTTTTTTCTGGTGTGTTTTTGGGTTTCCTGGTCCATTCAAGGGGCATGGAGGTTGATGCAGAAAAAGCAAAGGCAATCATAGAAGCTCGACCGCCAAGGACAAAAAAAAGAATTGCAAAGTTTAATCAGCAAAGTCAATTTCCTTCGCCGATTTATCTCCAATTTATCTAAGAAGTTGAAACCTTTCTCTCTGCTCCTGAAGGTACAATCAGCCGAAGATTTTGTATGGGATGAAGTGCAACAACAAGCTTTCCAGGCTATCAAACAAGCTTTATCGACTCATCCAGTAATGGTTGCACCTATCAAGATCAAACCATTGAAGTTATACATGTCAGCCACAGAAGAATCGTTGGGTTGCTTACTAGCCCAAGATGACCAAGACGGATTCGAAAGAGCCGTTTACTACTTAAGCAGAATGCTTACAGACATAGAACGAAGGTATCCCTCAATTGAAAAATTGTGTTTGGCATTATATTTTGCTGCGACCAAGTTACGTCATTATATGCTTCCGGGTTTGGTCTGCGTCATTAGCAAGGTAAATTTGGTCCGATACATGTTAC